CCAACCAGAAAAACACCCATTTACCCATACTCTTTGCTTTCTACTGGTCAACCAATCCTCTATCCATGCCAATACATTACCTGTAATACCGTGCAACTTTATCTTATGTAGCAGCCTTTGGTGTGGCACCTTGTCAAATGCCTTCTGGAAATCCAGATACACCACATCCACAGGTTCCCCATTATCCACCATGCAAGTAATGTCCTCAAAAAATTCCACCAAATTAATTAAACATGACCTACCCTTCATGAACCCATGCTGGGTGTTCCCAATGGGAGAATTTATATCCCGATGTCTTGCTATTTCTTCCTTAATGATCGATTCAAGCATTTTCCCCACTACCGAAGTTAAGCTAACTGGCCTATAGTTACCTGCTTTTTGTCTACTTCCTTTTTTAAACAGTGGCGTCACATTGGCTGTTTTCCAATCTACGGGAACCACCCCAGAGTCCAGTGAATTTTGGTAAATAATTACTAGTGCATTTGCTATTTCCCCCATCACCTCTTTTAGTACCCTGGGATGCATTTCATCTGGGCCAGGAGACTTGTCTACCTTTAGCCCCATTAGCTTGCCCAGCACTGCCTCCTTAGTGATAATAGTTTCTAGGTTCTCACCTGCTATAACCTTCTTGCTATTAGTTTTCGGCATGTTATTTGTGTCTTCCACTGTGAAGACCGACACGAAATAGCTGTTTAATGCCATGGCTATTTCCTCATTCCCAGTTATTAAATTGGCCTTCTCATCCTCTAAAGGACCAATGTTTACCTTCGCCACTCTTTTACGACTTACATATTTGTAGAAACTTTTGCTGTCTGTTTTTATATTCTGAGCTAGTTTACTCTCATAATCTATCTTACTTTTCTTTATAACTTTTTTTGTGGCTTTCTGTTGGGCCTTTAAAGATTTCCCAGTCTACTAGTTTCCCACTACTCCTTGCTTTTTTGTATGTGTTTTTTTTTTCAATCTGATACTTTCCTTTTTATTTCCTTAGACTTCCATGGCTGGCTCTCTCTTTTCCTACAGTTCTTCCTTATCACTGGAATATACTTCTGCTGAGCACTGTGAAAAATTGTTTTGAAAGTCCTCCACTGTTCCTCAATTGACTCACCATGAAGTTTTTGCTCCCATTCTACCTTAGCTAACTCCTTCATAGTCTCCGTTGTTTGAGCACAGGACATTGGTACTGGATTTAACCTTCTCACGCTCTGTATTTTAAATTCGACCATACTGTGATCACTCCTTCCGAGAGGATCCCTAACTGTGAGATCATTAATTATTCCTGTCTCATTACTAGATCTAGGATAGCTTGCTCCCTCGTAGGTTCCATTACATATTGTTCAAGGAAGTTATCGCGAATGCATTCTATTAACCCCTCCTCAAGGCTGCCATGATCGACCTGGTTTGACCAATTGATATGTAGATTAAAAACCCCCATGATAATTGCTGTACCATTGTTACATGCATTAGCTATTTCTATGTTTATCGCCCACCCCACCACGATGTCGTTATTCGGTGGCGTATAGACCACACCCATCAGTGACTTCTTCTCCCTGCTATTCCTAATTTCCACCCAAATGGATTCAATGTTTGTTCAGTAGAACCTATATCATCTCTCACTACTGCCCTGATATCATCCTTAAAAATCAGAGCAACACCACCTCCCTTACCTTCCTGTCTGTCCTTCCGAACAGTTTGATACCCATGGATATTTAACTCCCAGTCATGACCATCCTGTAACCATGTCTCTTTAATGGCCACTAAATCATACCCATTTGCCATGATTTGCACTGTCAACTCATCCACCTTGTTTCAAATGCTCCGAGCATTCAGATGAAGTGCCCTTATGCCAGTTTTTGCACCTTCTTTTTGAGTCATATCACCTCCATTACTAACAGCTCGAGTTCTCCTTCCATTTAACTTTTTTCCTAATTTTCAATGGACTTGAAGCTTCCTCGTCACCTGCTAACCTGCTGCTTTGCCTTCCATTAATTGTTTTTCTCCTTCTACGCTCACTTCTCCCTTCCCCCCTACTTACTAGTTTAAAGTCCTATTAACCACCCTATTTACTCTTTTCGCCAGAACACTGGACCTGGCCCTGTTCAGGTGGAATCCATCCCAGCGGTATAGATCCCTCCTGTCCCAGAACTGATGCCAGTGCCCCATGCAAAGGAAACCCTCTTTTCCACACCACGCTTTTAGCCACGTGTTTACTTCCCTGATCCTCGCCTCCCTATGCCAATTTGCACGTGGCTCGGGCAGCAATCCAGAGATTACGACCCTTGAAGACCTGTTTTTTCATTTTATTCCTAGCTTTTCATAATCCCGAAACAGGTCTTTTTTCCTCGTCCTGCCTATGTCGTTGGTACCTACGTGGACCACAATAACTAGATCCTCCCCCTCCCTCTCTAGTATCCTCTCAAGCCGGTCAGAATGTCTCGCACCCTGGCACCGGGCAGGCAACACACCATGCGGGATTCTCTATCCTGCTCGCAAAGGATACTGTCTATCCCCCTGATGATGGAGTCCCCTACAACTGCAATCTGTCTTTTCACTCCCCCCTCTTGAATGGCCTCCTGGACCATGGTGCCATAGTCAGTTGACTCATCCTTCCTGCAGCCCTGTTCCTCATCCATGCAGGGAGCAAGTGCCTCATACCTGTGGGACAATGTCAAGGGCTGCAGCTCCTGTATTCCTGTCTGCAGGGTCCCTCTACCTGCCTCACTCGCAGTCACACACTGCTGTCCCTGCCCCCCGATCGAATTAACATTAGTTAATCTACCAGGTGTGACTGCCTCCTGGAACACAATATCCAGGTATTTCTCCCCCTCCCGGATATGCCGCAGTGTTTGGAGTTCGGATTCCAGCTCATCAATTTTGAGCCGGAGCTCCTCAAGCAGCCAACACTTGCTGCAGATGTGGTCACTGCCATTCTCAATGGGATCAGCTAGCTCCCACATCATACAGCTACAACACATCACCTGGCCTGCCATCTCTACTTAGTTAATTCTTTAAAATTAATTAGTTTTTTTTTAGTTTCGCAGTGTTCGCTGCAGCAGTAAGTTTACTCCGTTATATACTCAAACAGACTCCGGCTTTGCTTTCCGACCCGCTCCCAGAGGATTTGGCGTCTAGGCGACCACCCCAAAAGATAACAAAGAGATGAGGAAAAAAAAATGCAAATAGCTTTCCTGCTCACCACACTTAGTCGTTATTATTAGGTTAGAGGAGGTGGAAGGGTGGGAGACACTACGTGTGTAGTTAGTTAGTTAACTCCCCAATTTATTGGGTGGAAGCTTACCTTCCCAGGCTGCCCTAGCGCTTCCTCCTGGACTCCCGCCACTGAAACAACTGAAAGGCCGCAGTCATGCGAGGGAAAACTTTTATAATCGAAAAGGGGCCTGGGTGAGTCACATTTACATTGTAACCCACGTCAGCCTCCCCGAGCCTGCCTCACAGTCACACTAACACAGTCAGGGGCTCAGCAGATCCTGACTTCAGTCATCAAGCCTGTGGGTCACAGGGGTCATGGCTCACCTAGGCTCATTTAGTGATGGAGATTAGAGAGAATTACTGGGTATTCATACACCAGAGTTATTTGGCTGACATTTCTTCACCAGGCCAGTGTCAATGCAGCTGCAGCTCACTGGCAGTTAGGAACCAGGAACAGGAGGAGGCCATTCAGCCCCTCGAACCTATTCCACCATTCAAAGAGATCCATAGCCTAACTCCATTTAACTTTTCCATTTAACTACAGTAAATGGAAAAGCCCTGGGGAAAATTGATGCACAGAGAGATCTGGGCATTCAGGTCCATTGTACCCTGAAGGTGGCAACACAGGTGGATAGAGTGGTCAAGAAGGCATACGGCATGCTTTCATTCATCGGACGGGGTATTGAGTACAAGAGTTAGCAGGTCATGTTACAGTTGTATAGGACTTTGGTTCGACCACATTTGGAATACTGCGTACAGTTCTGGTCACCACATTACCAAAAGGATGTGGATGCTTTGGAGAGGGTGCAGAGGAGGTTCCCCAGGTTGTTGCCTGGTATGGAGGGCGCTAGCTATGAGGAGAGGTTGAGTAGATTAGGATTATTTACATTCGAAAGACGGAGGTTGAGGGGGGACCTGATTGAGGTCTACAAAATCATGAGAGGTATAGACAGGGTGGATAGCAAGAAGCTTTTTCCCCAGAGTCGGGGACTCAATTACTAGGGGTCACGATTTCAAGGTGAGAGGGGAAAAGTTTAAGGGAAATATGTGTGGAAAGTTCTTTACGCAGTGGGTAGTGGGTGCCTGGAACGCATTGCCAGCGGAGGTGGTAGAGGCGGGCACGATAGCGTCATTTAAGATCAATCTAGACAGATACATGAATGGGCAGGGAGCAGAGGGATACAGATCCTTGGAAAATAGGTGACAGGTTTAGATAGAGGATCTGGATCGGCGCAGGCTCGGAGGGCTGAAGGGCCTGTTCCTGTGCTGTAATTTTCTTTGTTCTTTGTTTTTTTGTTCCATACACCTGCCTTTGGCCCATATCCCTTAATACCTTTGCTGAACAAAAAATTAACTCTCTCAGATTTAAAATTAACAACTGATCCAGAATCCACTGCTATTTGTGGAAGAGAGTTTCAAACCTCTACCACCCTTTGTGGTGCTTCCAAACAGCTCTCCTGAATGGTCTGGCCCTCATTCCTAGACTATGATCCTCGGTCTAAAATTCCCAACCAGTGGAAATAGTTTATCTACCTTGTCATTTCCTGTTAATATCTTGATGATTTTGATTAGATCACCCCTTAACTTTCTAAATTCTAGAAAAAATACAGGCCTAATTTGTATAATCTCTCCTCATATCTTAACCCCTGAAGCCCAGGTGTCATTCTTGTAAACCTACATTGTACTCTCTTCAAGGCCAATCTATCCTTCCTGAGGTGTGGTGCCCAAATCTGCTCTCAGTGCTCAAAGTGGGGTCTAACCAGTGTTTTATATAACTGCAGAATAAATTTTATATCCTTAGACTCTGGTCCTCGAGATCTAAAGGCCAGCATTTCATTAGCTAGCTTAATTATTTTCTGCACCTGTTTATGTCATTTTAGAGATCTATACACCTGAACCCTCAAGTCTCCTTGGATAAACACCATATTTAACTGCCCTCATACCCATGGGCTACAAGCTCAGCTAATAGTCCCCTACGTGGGACTTCATCAAATTCTTTTTAGAAGTCCATATAAACACAACCCACAACCCCTGTCCATGATTTTAGTCACCATTTAAAAAATTTCAGTGAAGTTTCTCAGGTATGACATACCTGTCATGAATCCCTGCTGACTGTTCCTGATTAACTGAAAAATTGCAAGTGTTCAATTACCCCATCCTTGATTCCAACAATTGTCCCACCACAGGTATTAGTTCATTCACTAGGGGCATGGAGAACTGCAGGTTCCTGCACTGGGACCAGTGGTCATTGCAGGCTGACTGTCTGGGCAAGGGCTCAATGTTGAGTCGCTCTCTGGCACCATGGATCATTGTAGGGTCACTCATTGAGGCCAATGGTGATTATGGGGTCACTCACCAAAGCCAGGGGTCACTGTGGATCACTCACTGAGTTCAAGAGTCTCAATGGGTCCCTCACTGTGACCAGGAGTCACTATGGGCCCCTCACTGAGGCTAAGGATCACGATGGGTGATGAACAAAGACCCAGGTTCATTGTCAGGAATTCACTAGAGCCAGGGGCCAAGGCAGGAGGTCGGGGTGACAATAGGTTCACTCACCGGGGCACCAGTTGTTCTTCTTCAGGGCTGCTGCTTTCTGGAACAGTCCGATTCCCTTGGTTATGCTGCTGGAGGCTGCCTGATCCCTGGCTCTCACTCCCAGACACCGAACTGACTGAAGGAAAAGAGAGACATTGCTGCCTTAGTCAGTGTCCAAAATACAGAGGCGGCGGTTTGCAACCAGCAAAAGATTCACTTATCACTCTTTCAAGAAATACTTAACTCTGCACAAACTCTCCATTGCTCTATATATCCCAGGGTCTCTCCGTCCTAGTCTCTCCCTCACCACACTCTCTGTCCCAGTCTCTCTGTCCCAGTCTCTCCGTCCCCGTGCTGTGTACACTAACGGTTGCAGTGTTAGTTGTTTGCAGATTCTGCCTTACTTGTACTCTCAGAATGTCGAGCCAGGATGGTGTTGTCTGAAACATCCAGCAGGATGGCGATGTCCAGAGCTGGCAGTGGAGGGGGAGGATCCTTGGGAGCTCTCGGGTCAAAGGCAAGGCTGGTGTTGGACTTCTTGGTCTTCCTTTCTGCTTTGTCAGGGTCAACCCCAGTTAGCCACTTCTCCAGCAGTTCGGCTTGGTGAGCAGTCACTGGGAAACCATCCAGAATCCAGCCACAATCCACCGGCAGAGAGCTGCAAGAAAACCAGGAAACCAGCTGCTGAATGGTCTGTGTACAGTCTGTCAATGGAAGCTCACACATTTATCACAGGATGGTTTAATGAAGCTCGATTCCCCACAATTAACACTCATCGATTAATTATAGAAGCATGAAAACCTCATGTCAACCAAAAGACTGGGAAACTGCAAGCTTTCTATTCTAGGCCCTAAACGAGTTTGATCTTTTCCTGCACAAGTTGAGCAATGGATCAGGAAACTAATCACCTGAATTGATGCCACTTACCGCACACACTCAACAATAATCTCCACCAGCAACTCATCTGGAACACCTTTTCCTTTCCTCAGGAATTTGGCAGCCCTCGCTCCCAACTCAGCCCTGACACTCGGCTGAAAGTAAAATAGACAGTAAATGTACATGATCACATCCAACTGGAGAGGGAAAGAAATGCAAACACATTGACTCTTACTGGGGGTACAGTCCCACACGCACTGACTCTTACTGGGGGTACAGTCCCACACACACTGACTCTCACT